CGGCGAGAAAAAGAGAGTGGTAAACACGACTGATGGGGCCAGATGCCAGAGCTGAGCAGCTACTGATAGCTAATCTATGGACATCTTTATACTGTACAAAGTTGGCAAAGGCAGTCCCTCTGTCAATAGACAAAATCAGCAAGCTGGGGTAACTTAGCAATACAAAAAAAAACTGTTTCCATTCAATTACGTAAATTCATTTTTCATTTACTACTTGCCTTCCTTTTTTATTCTCTCCTATTTTTTTAGGGGGGGGGGGAAGTGGTAGCTGACCGAATTGCTCGCTCTCCTGTTTGGTTACCCAGATTTTGTTTACCTCTCCGTGCGACAACCTGGAAACCCCCGTGCAGCTGTTCGGGGTGGGAAATTAAGGGTGCGACAAATTAGGGTATTTGCACCATACGCGTAACGTGCCCGATCTCCGTTACGAAATGGCCCGACCCAGCCCGGCCAGCACTGCACACATTGCACGCGCAGGGGCGCGGGCCGCGGTGCTATTGCGCACGAAGCGGGGTGCAGCGGAAGTGATCCGTCCCGATCTGCTCTTATCCCGGGCGCACCCGCGCCAGCCGGCCTTGGCTTCCTTTCCCTCGCGAGTGAAGATGTCTTTCTTTCGGAGATAAATGAAAAGCCACAAAATGTAACACTTGGGTGCACGGCGTCTACCTTTCCTTACTGAAGAAAGACAACGTCGGTGAGGGAGTGTGTGTCCTGTCTCGTGGGGGGAGTCCGCCAGCCCCCGCAGGCAGGCCGCCCGGGCGGTAGGCAACCCGAACCCTCGGCCGCTCGACGGGTCTGCCTCCCTCCCTGAGTAGCGTGCTGGGTGCAGCGACGGCCTCGGCGCGGCCCCGGCGGCGAGGCGCGCGTGCGGATCTGCATTTGAGCAACACCGCGGCGCACTCGCTGACTTTGATTATAACTTTGGGGATAGCGAGCCTAAAGCGCTAATGGAATCACCAACTTTTTCCAGCAGCAGCAGGGCTCGGCCCGGCGCGCCGGCGCCAGCCAGGATTTTAAAAACGTATAAATAAAAATGACCACCACGCAGGCGGAGCACGGCGCCCCGGCGGTTGGCTTGGTGTGAGATGCCCAGCCTAGATTTGCCCCGTGAGAACGATTACCCGGGTTATGAAACATGAGCGATAAGTTAAAGTGTTGCTCAGGGCCGCGTGCAAAGTCGCCCGGCCCGCAGTCCCGCACTGTAAATCCAAAACTACTGTTCGAATGCCACCCGGCGGCTTATGGCCCAAGTGCCTGTATAGCGTGTAATTCGACGATATTGAACGATAACTCCCCCGTCCCGCTTTGGTGCGTTGCCTTAGAGCAACAGAAGGATGCGAACAGCAATCTCGCTCCTTGCAGTACCACGCGAAGGTGCCAATGAGAAGCGGTGCGTGCGAAAATATCCGCATAATATGAAGGTGAAAGCCGAACGGCAGAAATACAAACACGGTTCTCGCCCATCTTACCCATTTTATAAATTTACCTCTCTCTCTCTCTCTCTCTCTCTCTCTCTCTCTCTCTCTCTCTCTCTCTAAATCTAAGAGACGCGCAGCGTCTTGAAAGTGTTGTTCTTATCAATATGTAAAGTATCTCAAAAATCGATGAGCCGCAACGCTTTTACCCGCCCTGATTATTTCAAGAAGTCTCCCTCGAGCAGCTTGTAAGTAAAACATGCCACTCTCCGCGCGCGCGTCTCCGCCGCACTGCTCACCAGAATGGGAGACGAGCACTCCCGGACACTTTAACGTCAACAAGTTAACCAAAATTTCACGCTCCAGTTACGGAGGTGACGAACAAAGTTTTGGCTTTGGCAAGGGCCGGGCCGGGCCGGGAGAGAGGAGACGCGGGCGTGCAGCAGCGAGAGGATCGCTCCCAAAACGCACCAGGTGGGGAGGAGGAGTGGACGATGAAGGGGAGGAGAGGGGGCTGGTCTAGTTGCAACATACGGCGCCCCTCACCACCACCATCCAGTGCAACAACTATCCACCCCACACAATGAGATGGAAATGGTCGCGTGCGACGCACTTGTTTTCTCCCCCCGGCTTGTGTGCACCAGGTGCACTACACGGCCGCGACCCTGATGGAGTCAGGACGATAAGTCGGTATCAGGTGGACCTACAGAGGGTCGGACCAGCAGACTTCAGCACGCCACCGCGAGGAAATTCAATGTTGCCCACGCCACGGTTGGTATACACAACACACTACAGCACGTTTTAAAAAATAATAACTTCATCGACACGAGAAGCGCGCGGCCCGGCCGGGAACCGTACCGGCTCCAAACGCGATAAGAGACGCGAGGAGCGGCGCGATAACGACGTTAGCCTATTAATACACACAGAAAAAAATGGGTTCCGAAAAACCACGAATACGTTGGAGAATTCTTTACGCCTACAGAGAGGCGAGCCGACCGACGACGCGTCTTGGACCTCGCCCAAGTGACCGTGACCGCTAAAAAGAAATAAAGAAATATAAAAGTCAAGTTGAATCGAGATGTCGATTTATCATCCGATTTTTATCGGCGACTGTTGTTACATTTCACAGGTCACGGCACGACATCCTCGTCGCCCGTGAGGGGGGGTCCGAGCGTGGCGTGGCTCGGCGAGAAAAAGAGAGTGGTAAACACGACTGATAGAGGGATGGATGACCACGATAAGTGGTAAAAACAAACCGCGGGGTACAGCGACACGGGGGGCGGCGGGGTCGGGCGGGAGGTGAGAGGTGAGGGGGAGGGGCGGGTCGAGAAGGGCGCCCCGGCTGGGCCGCTGACAAGGGGGTGCTTCCAGTGCCCCGCCATGCCCTCCCGAGACCACCTCGCGGTGACCGCCATGGCCTCGCTCGTCTCCGGCGTCCCCGGGGGGTTCCCGGTGATCAGCTGTTGCTCGCTGCCCTCCCCGACCCCCGAGCGGCGCCTGCACCACCGCCAGGCCCTCGGCCGGGGCGGCGCGCAAGGCGAACTCAGCCTCCTCGTCGAACTGGCGGCCGAGAAAATGTCACGGGCGGGTGCGGCCGCGCCGTCGGTAGAGGTGCGGGGTGGTGTGTGGGGCGGTGACGAGCCTGAGCGTGAGTACCAGCGAGCAGCGAAACCAATCACTCCAGCGGCCAAAAGAAACTAACCGGATATACGTTTGTGAGTGTGTCTGTCCAAGACAAACTTAAAGGCCGAGAACGGGTTTGCCAAACTAAAAAAAAACACACAATTAAGTTTCGAAGGGAATTTAATTTGAAACAGAGTGGCTCTGCAATTGACTCATTTTAAGACATAACGTCAACAATTTAAATAGCTAAAGACAATTACATCATTGAACGACGCTCTTGGCACACGAACATTTGCACAGTACAAGCCTGCCAGGTAGAAAAGGGTTGCGCTAATTCATGGTTGCCACAAAATTTTCATTTCCATTTTCCCTGAGTTTTCCGTACGGTTAATGGTATTTTTTTGCCCCAGTACTTCACCAGAAACGGTGCTTAAAACTGGGGAAATTTGGGGAGAACTGGTCTGGAAATCACCAATTGACCAATTGTAAACTTTTGGGACAAAACACCCTACTGGGACGTCAAAATGTGTATTTGACCTAAACGGCGAATAGACTGCAGTTTGGGGACCGGTCAGACCAAATTTTCCCTGAGTTTTCCCTGATTCCCTGACAGTTTTTTATTTCCCTGAGTCTTCCAGGTTTTCAAGGTTTTCCAGAGTTGTGGCAACCATGTAATTGAATGTTTTGGAAGGATTCCAGCGTGTTTCGAACGCTATAAGAACTTTTTTTAGCGAGTAGGGTTCAGTATAACTCCACAATCCCGACCCGACGGGGTCTTCCAGCCACCTGGTATTGTACAGTTAGTCTGAGGACGAAAATAATGAAGCGGGAGCAATTTGCAGTTTAACGGTCAGGCGCCAGATGGCTGTGATTGCCGAACGCACTTGACTTGACCCCGAACCTGTCCGCGCCCTGGGCCCCCGGGCGCACGGGCCGCTCTAGCGGCTGATACCGCGACTATATATGCCACTTCTCCCTTCGCGGCTCCTCGGCGGGGCCAAACAAAAGGCCTACCAGGCATTCCTATCGACACCCGTCGGGACCCGCGCAGCGGGCCGGCCGGGCCGGGCCGGGCAGGGCCGGGCGTTGCGAAAGATAGCATCGATCCGGCGCGCGGCCCACGCCTGTCCCACGCACCGCCCCACCCCGTCACCACGCCCCGTCACAACGCCCCGCCAAAACGTCACGTCACGCGTGTGTGTCTGCGACGCACTGCCTCTTACCTCCTCGCCGCGCCCGACAATGAGGTCCAGACTCATTTCGGTACTGGGTAAAGTGTCACCGGCACGTTCTTGAGGTCATCGGCCGGATATGATTCCCCAAGACGCCCTTCGTCGTCTTGGTGCAGCTAAGAACCGTCGAAAAGTTCTGTTCACCTGCACCTGATGGTCCTTCCTTCGGGCAGCCAACTTGGCTCGTTGGATCGTCTCTCGCGCCCAGTCGGCTGCCGCCGCGGTCGCAGGAATGGTTTCCACCTCCCCCCCTGTCTTCTCCCCTTTTCCAGTCGTGGACTCATTAACAAAGAATTATTGTCGAGCGCCCAGCCGGCGGTGTTGTAGAGAGGAGGGTCCAGGGCGAAAGGGCCAGCCAGGTGGACAATTGGCTGTCCCGGCCGGCAGGTGGTCCCGCCTACCCCTCTGTGTAGGGCGGGGCGCGGGTGGGGCTCGGATGCGCTTCCTTGCACAAAACCACCTAAACTTTGTCGAGCCGGCCCGGCGGCCTCGCGGTCCCGTCCAGTCGGTTGCGCCCCGAGTGGCCGGTCTGGACCGGGTGCCGTCCGGCTGGAAGCACCCCCACCCCACCCCCCGGACCTCCCAGGTGGAAAATAATAAACATCAGACACAAACAATTCAATTGTTAGCGAAAACCCTTCTTCCCTCTCTCTCTCACTTTTGTGTAAGCCGCACGGCTTGGTAACAGAAAAGGAGATCCGATGCTCAAGTCACGCGACCCGCACGGTGTTGGGGTTGTGTGTTGTGTGTTCGAACAGCCACCGCCGCGGCCCTCGGCGTGGCTCGGCGTGTAGCACCAATATCCGACCCACTATTGAGCAATTTCCGTTCCATCGCCTGGCAGCAGCAGAGCGGGGGTGGCGGCGAGCAGGGCGGCCCTCCCCCGCCACAATGCAGCCGCACGGGGAAGGAGAGCAGCGCCGCCTCTAACGCCCCTCCCCTCTTCGTGTTCACAGGGAAGGACAGCCTCCTCAGCCGGACCGCAGTCATGGACGCATCCACCAGAAAGCTGCTGAGCTCGGGGGCGGCCGAGGCCATCGGCCTGGGCATCATCTGCTTCTTCGGCTGCATGGGCACGCTCAACGGGCCGCTCGGCATCGCCCTGCCGCACATCCAGGTCGCCCTGACCTTCGGCCTGGTCGTCATGGTGGCCATCGCGGTAAGTACGTCCGACTCCTCCGGTGGGGGGTGACTACCCCAGCCTACCCCACCCTGCGCGCGCCCAGCAGCGACGGCTCGGGCGCTGGGCCGCGCCCCAAGGAGGGTCCAAAGTTAAGGGAGCAGACGGGTCTGGTGCCCTGCAGCGCATCGCAAGGGGGAGGGGAAAGGAGGGGGGTGCTTGAAACTTGCAGGTAAGGTCAACAAAATACTCGATAATACAACGCGATACTCGTCTTTGGGTGTGCATCTATTACCTCATGAGGTGCACCTCCACAAGAATTGTACGCAACTATTTTACCAAATGCGATTCAGTTTCCGAGATTTCGTTGACTTTCTACACCTAGTCTCCGCGTATACTACGGCTCTTAAACAGAACCCTCTCCCCCCGCACTGCCGTGTTCGACGAATGCGGCAAAGACAGAACCAATACATCGCGTGGTACGCAGCACTGCGCACCGTGCTCGCGACCAAATATTTGTTTGGCGAAATGGAAACATTTGATGCCACGGCAACGACCCCAGCTCGGCGGGACAACACTCCGGACCACTCGCTCGCGCCCGGGAGCGCGGCGCGTCGGAGCGAACGGGCCGCTCCGCGCCTCTCGCTTGTGCCATATGGGTGCGGACGGCGACGAGCGACCGGCGGGCTCACGGCGTGCATAGGTAGCAGTTTAATTAGGCCCCTTTTGTTACACTGTTACTCGTTCACCCTCGTGTTTTGTTTTAATAGTTAGTAAAAACGCCGTTTTTTGTAAATTCAGATTCTGAAATAACACACGCACCTCTCACAATGGCATCGCTAATCGAAACTTCACGCACCCCGATATAGAAAAAGCGTTTGCTGCTGCTTCCGCGGAGGTCTTGTGTGTTGTCTTCTTCCCGGGGCATCAAGACTTGGCGCACTTCTTTAACACGCATAACTCTTTCGGGGAGAACACTCACGTGAACTCATTCCATGCACGTCCTGCCAATCCCAACTTGATCATTCCGACCGGCGCTCAGTGGCCGAGTATATGGTAGTAAAATGAGTTTTATTATCAAACTTTTCTCATCACAGTGTCGCCCGGGCGTCCGCTCGTCCCGAAAGGCAATCTGCTTGCGTGTTACTGTGCCCCCCACATGGCCCTTCTTTCCCTTTCGGGCCCTCGACTTCGGC